GGGAACTCCCATCATGCCCACTTTGTGTTCTCCTGTCCTGACCCTGCCACTAAAAAGGTGGGAAACTCCCATCATGCCCACTTTATGGGTTGTCCTGGCCAGAGCCTGCCTCTAAATAGGTGGGCAACTCCCATCATGCCACCTTTTTGGGTGTCCTGGCCAGACCCTGCCTCCAAATAGGTGGGGAACTCCCATCATGCCCACTCTATGGGATATCCTGACCAGACCCTGCCTCTAAATAGGTGGGGAACGCCCATCATGCCCACTTTTTGGGTTGTCCTGGCCAGACCCTGCCTCCAAAAAGGTGGAGATCTCACATCATGCCCACTTTATGGGTTGTCCTGACCAGACCCTGCCTCCAAATAGGTGGGGAACACGCATCATGCCAACTTTTTGGGCGTCATGGCCAGACCCTATCTCCAAATAGGTGGGGAACTCTCATTATGCCCACTTTATGGGTTGTCCTGGCCAGACTATTTAGAGGCTGGGCATGGGCAGGAAAACTCATACATGATGGGTGGTCCCTGCCTATTTAGAAGCTGGGTGTGGGTGGAACCAACCTATCAAGTGGACATGATGGGTGATCCCTGACTATGTAGAGGCTGGGTGCGGGTGGGATAACCCATAAACGGGCATAATGGGTGGTCCCTGACTATGTAGAGGCTGTGTGTGGGTGGAACAACCCATAAACAGGCATGATGGGCAGTCCCTACCTATTGAGAAGCAGGGTCTGGGTGGGACTATCCCATTAACTGAGTGTGGCTTTTGAAGTGCCCGAAAATTGGGCTAAAAATACCAGAATCACAAGCAGGGAGAACGGTGTGGGGTCCGGGGCCACAATATTTGTATGTATTATCGGCCTTTTATGAGTTGTGGACTACAAACGCCCGTATTATGGAGAAGGGGAGGGGGGGGGGTTCTGTAGTCATGTACAGTCAGGTCCATAAATATTGGGACATCGACACAATTCTAACATTTTTGGCTCTATACACCACCACAATGGATTTGAAATGAAACGAACAAGATGTGCTTTAACTGCAGACTGTCAGCTTTAGTTTGAGGGTATTTACATCCAAATCAGGTGAACGCTGTAGGAATTACAACAGTTTGCATATGTGCCTCCCACTTATTAAGGGACCAAAAGTAATGGGACAATTGGCTTCTCAGCTGTTCCATGGCCAGGTGTGTGTTATTCCCTCATTATCCCAATTACAATGAGCAGATAAAAGGTCCAGAGTTCATTTCAAGTGTGCTATTTGCATTTGGAATCTGTTGCTGTCAACTCTCAAGATGAGATCCAAAGAGCTGTCACTATCGGTGAAGCCATCATTAGGCTGAATAAACAAAAACAAACCCATCAGAGAGATAGCAAAAACATTAGGCGTGGCCAAAACAACTGTTTGGAACATTCTTAAAAAGAAGGAACGCACCGGTGAGCTCAGCAACACCAAAAGACCCGGAAGACCACGGAAAACAACTGTGGTGGATGAGCGAAGAATTCTTTCCCTGGTGAAGAAAACACCCTTCACAACAGTTGGCCAGATCAAGAACACTCTCCAGGAGGTAGGTGTATGTGTGTCAAAGTCACCAATCAAGAGAAGACTTCACCAGAGTGAATACAGAGGGTTCACCACAAGATGGAAACCATTGGTGAGCCTCAAAAACAGGAAGGCCAGATTAGAGTTTGCCAAACGACATGTAAAAAAGCCTTCACAGTTCTGGAACAACATCCTATGGACAGATGAGACCAACATCAACTTGTACCAGAGTGATGGGAAGAGAAGAGGATGGAGAAGGAACTGCTCATGATCCTAAGCATACCACCTCATCAGTGATCATGGTGGTGGTAGTGTCATGGCGTGGGCATGTATGGCTGCCAATGGAACTGCTTCTCTTGTATTTATTGATGATGTGACTGCTGACAGAAGCAGCCGGATGAATTGTGAAGTGTTTCGGGAATATTATCGGCTCATATTCAGCCAAATGCTTCACAACTCATTGGATGCTTCACAGTGCAGATGGACAATGACCCAAAGCAGACTGCAAAAGACACCAAAGAAGTGGAATGTTCTGCAATGGCCAATCACCTGACCTGAATCCGATTGAGCATTTCACTTGCTGAAGACAAAACTGAAGGGAAAATGCCCCAAGAACAAGCAGGAACTGAAGACAGTTGCAGTAGAGGCCTGGCAGAGCCTCACCAGGGATGACACCCAGCGTCTGCTGATGTCTATGCGTTCCACACTTCAGGCTGTAATTGACTGCAAAGGATTTGTAACCAAGTATTAAAAAGTGAAAGTTTGATTTATGATGATGATTTTATCCCAATACTTTTGGTCCCTTAACAAGTGGGAGGCACATATGCAAACCGATGTAATTCCTACACCGTTCACCTGATTTGGATGTAAATACCCTCAAATTGAAGCTGACAGTCTGCAGTTAAAGCACATCTTGTTTGTTTCGTTTCAAATCCATTGTGGTGGTGTATAGAGCCAAAAATGTTAGAAATGTGTCCATGTCCCAATATATATGGACCTGACTGTAGTCATGTCCAAGGGTGACAACGTTGCTCCTCCATAAATATAGTACAGTGAGCGTTGTCACCCTAGGACAGGAAGTGTGATCACCAGGTGGACATAAAGGGTAGAAATCCTGAAATGGATCATTAGAAAAATAAACGTTAGAAAACTATAAAAGTGATTAAAGGAAGAGCTTTTTTTTTCTTTGGATCGCTGATCACAGACCCCCGCCACGGGAACAAGTAGTGCCTCACGTGGTGCTGCTTCTGCCACGCAGGCCTCCTAGTACAAATATGATGAGGTTTACCCAACACTATGATTACCGCTCCAGCCGGCCTGCGACTCCATGCCAGGGAAGCCCCACATAAGGACTGCATTGTGGTCGGCCGAGCTCTGTCTCCCCCACATGGAGGACGTGTGCAACTGCAAGCTGTGAAGAAAATCCTCCATAACGTTCGATCTCCTTTAATTTCAGTGTCTGTTTATGTCGTTCACGCAGGACGGGGGGGTCCTGTGCACCAATCGGGGGGGGGGGGGGGGGGGTCCTGTGCACCAATCAGAGGCGTGGGACGGGGGAAGGAGTATACACACGGGGTATATATATTATGGGATTTAGGCTCTTGGTGTCTCCGGTTACTATAATGAGATTACCATCCTACCTGGAGATGAAAGGGCAGCTAAAATCCGGCCAGGAAATGGGGATTTCACTGCGGAGGAGGCAGCTGGTGCGTAGGAGGAGTTCAGCGCTCTGCGGTTGTCGCGTCATGCGTCGTATTTCCTCTTCTACCTGTTTTTAGTGGTGATTTTTATTTTTCAGGGTTATAACGTTGCAGCTGAAGTTGAATCTTCTCTGGTTCCCTCTTTTCATTTCCATTACACACCTTATTCTATACCCAGTGACGTCATTACTAGGGCCTCTGTGCTTCTCTATGCAGTGCAGGCAGATCGTGGCTGGTGGGAGGAGCCAGAAGGGGGCGGTACTCAGCTTCCTGAAAACATCATCGCACCTTGCCTCAGTTACTACTTTCAAGATCCGTCAGCCCCAGGGCCGGGGGGGGGCCGGGACAAGGGGGGGGGGGCTGCCCTGCTGTCATGTGAAGTGGGGGGCACCACAAGGAGATGATCGATGTTGGAAAGGGGAATTTTGGGGAGGGGGTTATTGTGCTTGGATGGGGGATTGGGGGAGGAGAATTTGTGCTGAAAGGGGAGAATTTAGAGTGGGGGGGGGGGGGAGAGGATTTGTGCTTGGAGGGGAAATTTGAGGGGTAAAGGATTTGTGCTGGGAGGGGCATTTGAAGTGGGGGGGGATTTATGCTTGGAGGGGAGGATCTGGAGTGGGGGGGATTTGTGCTGGGGGGGGGGGGCATTTGGAGTGGGGGGAATGATTTATGCTCGGAGGGGAGGATTTGGAGTGGGGGGAGAGGATTTATGCTTGGAGTGGAAATTTGAGGGGTAGAGGATTTTTGCTGGGGGGGTGGGGGGGGGGCATTTGGAGTAGGGGAGGATTTTTGCTGGTGAAGGGGGCATTTGGAGTGGGGGAATGATTTGTGCTCGGAGGGGAGGATTTGGAGTAGGGGGGGTTGTGCTTAGAGGGGAGGATTTGGAGTGGTAGGGGAGGGGTTTGGAGTGGGGGGCAGGATTGTTCTGGGGGGGCATTTGGACTGGGGGAAATTTATGCTCGGAGGGGAGGAACTGGAGAGAGGGGGAAGAGGATTTGTGATGGGGGGGGGCATTTGGAGTAGGGGCAGGATTGTGCTGGGGTGGCATTTGGAGTGGGGGGGGGGGGAATTTGGAGTGGGAGGAGAGGATTTGTGCTGGTGAAGGGGGCATTTGGAATGGGGGGGGGATTGTGCTTGGAGGGGACATTTGAGGGGTAGAGGATTTGTGCTGGGGGAGGCATTTGGAGTGGGGGAGGATTTGTGCTCGGTGGGGAGGATTTGGAGTGGGGGGAGAGGATTTGTGCTGGGGGGGGCATTTGGAGTAGGGGGGCAGGATTTGTGCTGGGGAGGCATTTGGAGTAGGGGGGGGAAGGATTTGTGCTGGGGAAGGCATTTGGAGTAGGGGGGCAGGATTTGTGCTGGGGAAGGCATTTGGAGTAGGGGGCAGGATTTGTGCTGGGGAAGGCATTTGGAGTAGGGGGGGCAGGATTTGTGCTCAGAGGAGACATTTGAGGGGTAAAGGATTCCTGCTGGGGGGGGGGGGGGGGCATTTGGGAAGTTCACCCCGGGCTCTAGGTGACCTTGTCCCAGCAATGCTCCGCCCTGATGCAAACAGAAGGAGGAGTTATGCAAATAACATAATGTCTTGATGGGTGGGATTCCCCATAAATGGCGTAGGGGGCGGTGATGTCAGCGATGTAGTAACCCCTCCCCATCCCCCATTACAGGTATCCACTACAACCTCACCCTGGATGACCGCAGAGGGACCCCCCGCGCCGTCTTTGACAAGAGCTTCCAGAAACTCACCAGCAAGCGCGTGCGGATCTCCTCGGGGGTGGTGCTCTGTATGAACGTCAGCTTCCATGTCATTGTGAGTACCTGGGGGGAGGGGCTTTAGGTGTCATGAAGCCATTGGATCCACAGCCAAGCAATGAGCGTTTTTCTCCTGCATTGCACATACTGCAGCGCGTACGTCTTTCTTCGGCTCTTCAGCTCCACCTAGTGGCCACATTGAGGTGTTTTCTCTCCCCACCCCCCCCCCAGGACACTGCTGACTACCTGAAACCGATCGGCGTCCTCCTGAGATTCAACCTGAGCGACTCCGAGTCCAGCCCGGTGCTGGATGACAGGTGCCCTTCATCCGTGAGGAGGATGGTGAGTGTCCGGGAGGTACAAGGGACATTAGAGTGTAAGCTCCTCTGGTACAGAGACTGATGTGACTGTGGGGGAGGGGACATTAGAGTGTAAGCTCCTCTGTACAGAGACTGATGTGACTGTGGGGGAGGGGGACATTAGAGTGTAAGCTCCTCTGTACAGAGACTGATGTGGACTGTGGGGGAGGGGACATTAGGGACTGATGGGACTGCGGGGGAGGGGACATTAGAGTGTAAGCTCCTCTGGTACAGAGACTGATGTGACTGTGGGGGAGGGGACATTAGAGCGTAAGCTCCTCTGGTACAGAGACTGATGGGACTGTGGGGGAGGGGACATTAGAGTGTAAGCTCCTCTGGTACAGAGACTGATGGGACTGTGGGGGAGGGGACATTAGAGTGTAAGCTCCTCTGGTACAGAGACTGATGTGACTGTGGGGGAGGGGACATTAGAGTGTAAGCTCCTCTGGTACAGAGACTGATGGACTGTGGGGGGAGGGGACATTAGAGTGTAAGCTCCTCTGGTACAGAGACTGATGGGACTGTGGGGGAGGGGACATTAGAGTGTAAGCTCCTCTGGTACAGAGACTGATGGGACTGTGGGGGGGGGGACATTAGAGTGTAAGCTCCTCTGGTACAGAGACTGATGTGACTGTGGGGGAGGGGACATTAGAGTGTAAGCTCCTCTGGTACAGAGACTGATGGGACTGTGGGGGGGAGGGGACATTAGAGTGTAAGCTCCTCTGTACAGAGACTGATGTGACTGTGGGGGGAGGGGACATTAGAGTGTAAGCTCCTCTGGTGCAGAGACTGATGGACTGTGGGGGGAGGGGGGACATTAGAGTGTAAGCTCCTCTGTACAGAGACTGATGGGACTGTGGGGGAGGGGACATTAGAGCGTAAGCTCCTCTGGTACAGAGACTGATGTGACTGTGGGGGAGGGGACATTAGAGTGTAAGCTCCTCTGTACAGAGACTGATGTGACTGTGGGGGGGAGGGGACATTAGAGTGTCAGCTCCTCTGGTGAGTGGCTCAGTGATCTCTGTACAGCACCGCGGTATATGTCAGGTCTATATACATGTAGAAGTGATGGTGTGACCCTCTCCGTCTCCCTGGTCAGGTCCCGTTCTTCAAGGACTGCGGCGAGGATGACGAGTGTATCACTGACCTCTCCCTGAAGGCTCGGATGGACATTGTCGGCACGCGGTGAGCACGCGGGAATGGTGTGAATACTGCAGAAGTGGGCGGGTTTTATTTTAGGGCGGAGTCCTGCTTTAATAGGTGTCACCTGATTGGTGCCGTTGTCGTCCCGCCCTCATTTACGTCCCGTTCTGGGGTCAGCTGACCCATCGGATCACAGGAATTTTATTTTCCGCCACCAGGGACAAACCGCACATTATCCGCAGGACCGCAGGAAGGTGGCGGTGGAGGCGGAGCTGGAGAACCGCAGAGAAAACTCCTACAACACCAGCATGAAAGTGTCATTCTCCAGGAATCTGCTCTTCTCCAGTATATCCGGGAAGGTAAAGACTCCCTACTGCCCCCTACTGGGAACCAGGGGGACTCAGCACAGGGATGGTGGGAACCCCCTCATAATGGGCACAGCGGGGTACAGACCTGGGAACTCAGCACAGGGATGGTGGGAACCCCTCATAATGGGCACAGCAGGGGTACAGACCCGGGAACTCAGCACAGGGATGGTGGGAACCCCTCATAATGGGCACAGCGGGTGGGTACAGACCCGGGAACTCGGCACAGGGATGGTGGGAAACCCCTCATAATGGGGGGCGGGCACAGCGGGCGTACAGACCCGGGGACTTGGCACAGGGATGGTGGGAACCCCTCATAATGGGCACAGTGGGCGTACAGACCCGGGAACTCAGCACAGGGATGGTGGGAACCCCTCATAATGGGCACAGCTCTGGGGTACAGACCCGGGAACTCAGCACAGGGATGGTGGGAACCCCTCATAATGGGCACAGCGGGTGTGTACAGACCCGGGAACTCAGCACAGGGATGGTGGGAACCCCTCATAATGGGCACAGCGGGTGTACAGACCCGGGAACTCAGCACAGGGATGGTGGGAACCCCTCATAATGGGCACAGCGGGGGTACAGACCCGGGAACTCAGCACAGGGATGGTGGGAACCCCTCATAATGGGCACAGCGGGTGTACAGACCCGGGAACTCAGCACAGGGATGGGGTGTACGGGATGGTGGGAACCCCTCATAATGGGCACAGCGGGTGTACAGACCCGGGAACTCAGCACAGGGATGGTGGGAACCCCTCAGTGATGGCTCTTTGTACTCCGGCAGGGAGAAGCTCTCAGTAAGGTGGAGTGCTCAGCGCTCTCATCCAACACCAGATTCTGCAGCATCAGCTATCCGGTCCTGCGCTCCATGGAGAAGGTGAGAGTGGGATGGGGGGGGGGGGGATACTGGTGGGGGGGGAGGGGCAGAATTCAGCTTATTTGGGGCTCTTTGGCCAATCCCAGCCCTCGGCTTTTTATCATTATGGAGGAGTGGGGGATCCCTTTCATGGGGGGGGGGATCCCTTATCATTGGGGGATCCCTTATCATTGGGGGGATCCCTTATCATTGGGGGGGGGATCCCTTATCATTGGGGGATCCCCTTATCATTGGGGGGGGGATCCCTTATCATTGGGGGATCCCTTATCATGGGGGCGATCCCTTATCATGGGGGGATCCCTTATCATTGGGGGGGGATCCCTTATCATGGGGGGGATCCCTTATCATTGGACGATCCATTATCATTGGGGGGATCCCTTATCATGGGGGGCTATCCCTCTTATCATGGGGGGGATCCCTTATCATTGGACGATCCATTATCATGGGGGGCGATCCCCTATCATGGGGGGATCCCTTATCATTGGACGATCCCTTATCATGGGGGCGATCCCTTATCAGGGGGGATCCCTTATCATTGGGGGATCCCTTATCATGGGGGGTGATCCCTTATCATTGGATGATCCCTTATCATTGGGGGATCCCTTATCATTGGATGATCCCTTATCATGGGGGGGTGATCCCTTATTGGGAGGATCCCTTATCATGGGGGGGATTCCTTATCATGGGAGGATCCCTTATCATGGGGGGGGATTCCTTATCATGGGAGGATCCCTTATCATTGGGGGGATCCCTTATCATTGGGGGATCCCTTATCATGGGGGGGATCCCTTATCATTGGACGATCCCTTATCATTGGGGGATCCCTTATCATGGGGGCGATCCCTTATCATTGGGGGGATCCCTTATCATTGGGGGATCCCTTATCATGGGGGGGGGTCCCTTATCATGGGGGGGATCCCTTATCATTGGACGATCCCTTATCATGGGGAGGGATCCCTTATCATTGGACGATCCCTTATCATGGGGGGGGATCCCTTATCATTGGACGATCCCTTATCATGGGGGATCCCTTATTGGACGATCCCTTATCATGGGGGGATTCCTTATCATGGGGGGCGATCCCTTATGGGGGGATCCCTTATCATGGGGGGATCCCTTACCATTTATCATGGGGGGAATCCCTTATCATGGGGGGGGGGCGCCATTCAGTCCTCTGCCAGCACCTCCCCTTTAGATCCGGTCCAGGCTGTCCTGCCGGTCTCAGGGGAGGGTCAGGGACATCGCACAGCCCTCCGCACAGAACTGGAAGACTCTCACCAGCCCTCTCTGCCCTCAGGTTCAGTTCATCCTGGAGTTCGAGTTCAGCTGCGTCATCCTCCTGAACCGCGTGCAGATCAAGCTGTCGGCCAGCAGGTGAGTGCGCCCCCCCTAAGCGGAGCAGGCACAGGAAATGACATCAGAGCTGTAGAGCTCCGCCTCCAATAGTATAATAGAATTCCATCTTCAGGACATTTTATTTTTATTTGAATTAATGCGGCAGATCCATATTTTTTTTCTTACCACTATTTAGCCAGCAGGGGGCGCTGCAGGATCAGAGTGTGGGCGGGGTTTTGGTGCCCCTCCTTCAGCTGCATGTGATCTCTGAACGGCAAATCAGATTGCAGCCCACTCACTCACCCGACGCTCCACTGGGCTGCAATCTGATTTGCCATCAGCAGATCACATGCAGCTGAAGGAGGGGATACCACAAACCCCGCCCCTCTGTGATCCTGCAGCTCCATTTATGGTTTCAGTTAGACAGAGGCGGTCAGAAAGTGAGCTGCTGCTGGTTCATGGGAACACTTCGGATTCCGGTGTATTTATAGCCAGACTTTTTTTTTTTTTTAATTTATGGAGGGTTAGACCCCCCCCCCCCCCCGTCTGTGTTCCCGCGGGGGGAGGGGGGGGGATTCACCCTCTTGGTTTGTCCCAAATAAAAAAATCAATAAATTAATATTTAAATTATTTGATAAAGTTTTTTTTTTTTTTTTTTTATTTCTCCTTCTGTAGTGACAACACGGAGATGAATGACACCCTGCATGACAACACCGTGCAGCTCACCGCCAACGTCCGATACCAACCGGAACTGTTCATACTGAGGTGAGCCATCCACCAGAATCTGATATCTAACTTTGCAGTGGATACTGGAGGGGCAGACCTCCTGCTGTGCCCATTATGAGGGGTTCCCCCACCATCCCTGTGCTGAGTTCCTCGGTCTGTACACCCGCTGTGCCCATTATGAGGGGTTCCCACCATCCCTGTGCTGAGTTCCCGGGTCAGACCTCCTGCTGTGTCCATTATGAGGGGTTCCCACCATCCCTGTGCCGAGTTCCTGGGTTTGTACACCCGCTGTGCCCATTATGAGGGGTTCCCACCATCCCTGTGCTGAGTTCCCAGGTCTGTACACCCCGCCGTGCCCGAGGGGTTCCCACCATCCCTGTGCTGAGTTCCCGGGTCTGTGCCCATGCTCATTATGAGGGGTTCCCACCATCCCTGTGCCGAGTTCCCGGATCTGTACGCCCGCTGTGCCCATTATGAGGGGTTCCCACCATCCCTGTGCCGGTGTTCCCGGGTCTGTACACCCGCTGTGCCCATTATGAGGGGTTCCCATCATCCCTGTGCTGAGTTCCCGGGTCTGTACGCCCATTATGAGGGGTTCCCACCATCCCTGTGCCGAGTTCCCGGGTCTGTACCCCCGCTGTGCCCATTATGAGGGGTTCCCCCATCCCTGTGCCGAGTTCCCGGGTCTGTACCCCCGCTGTGCCCATTATGAGGGGTTCCCACCATCCCTGTGCTGAGTTCCCGGGTTTGTACACCCGCTGTGCCCATTATGACAGGTTCCCACCATCCCTGTGCTGAGTTCCCGGGTCTGTACCCCCGCCGTGCCCATTATGAGGGGTTCCCACCATCCCTGTGCTGAGTTCCCGGGTCTGTACCCCCGCAGTGCCCATTATGAGGGGGTTCCCACCATCCCTGTGCTGAGTTCCGGGTCTCTTCATTGGTCGGTGATATCAATCAGATGTGATTGTCATTGCAGCGACTCCAGCCTGAACCGATACGAGGTGCAGCCGATTCTGAGGCCGAGCCAAGACCCGGGGCCGGAGTTCATCACCAAGTTTAAGGTGAGATGTAATTTGATGACCTCATAGCGGGTGACCCCTGTATACACCCCCCCCCCCCCCCGTCTCCCCAGCCCCCCCTCCCCCCGGAGGTCATTACTGATGGAAGACTCATCTCTGATACATGACGGCGCCCTCTCCTGGAGGAATGGGTCATCTGCAATACAAGAGATATTTGCTGTTGGGGCCGATGCGGCTCCAAGCAGCTGCACATGCTCAGTTGGTAGGTGGCGGCCTGGAATATAACTCCCGGAACCTCTTGTCGCCCTCCAGGTTCAGTATGCAGACTGCTACCCCCTGCACAACGTCTCGGTGACCCTCCACACCCCGGCAATGGGCTACGGCAACGCCTACTTCATGTCCGTCTCCAGGATCATCTCCGACAACGTAAGATGGGGGGAGGGGACACGACTCCGCCTATACTCAGTGACACCGGTGTCACCCCGTTATTATATATCCATCAGGTGACCTGCGTGTTATCCAACACCACCCGGCCGGGGACCGCGCTGCTGCCCATACACCCCGAGGACCTGCTTCGTACCCCCATTGTGGTGAGATTTTCCGATTGCGAGCTCTTGGGACCAGTGTTCGGATTCTGCCTGGTGGGTAGATCGCCGCGTCTGCAGGAGTAGAGACGGAACGCGGCGGGGCAGTAGTGATGGGACAATCCAGGAACGAGGGGGGTCAGGAGGATGGGGGTTGGGGGGGTCAGGAGGATGGGGATGGGGGGGTCAGGAGGATGGGGATGGGGGGGGTCAGGAGGATGGGGGACCCCCACTAATCTCTCCTTCTTCTATCAGAACTGCAGTAACAGCCTCTGTGAGGTCATCACCTGCCAGATCCCTCCCCTCCCCCGCAACGCCGAGGTGTCCCTGTCCATCCTACGCATCATCCACAACCGCTTCTTCACCAACGTGAGTATATAGATGGGGGATGGGAGGGAGCGATGGTCTGCAGATCTCTAGGGATGGGAGGGAGCGATGGTCTGCAGATCTCTAGGGATGGGAGGGAGTGATGGTCTGCAGATCTCAAGGGATGGGAGGGAGTGATGGTCTGCAGATCTCAATGGTGGGATCACCTGCAGAATATATCAATCTGGATCTGTCAGGAGGGGGATGGGATGGAGCGATGGTCTGCAGATCTCAATGGTGGAATAATCAGCAGAATATATCAATCTGGATCTGTCAGGAGGGGGATGGGACAGAGCGATGTTCTGCAGATCTCAATGGATGGGATGGAGCGATGGTCTGCAGATCTCAATGGATGGGATGGAGTGATGGTCTGCAGATCTCTAGATGGAATAATCTGCAGAATATATCAATATGGATCTGTCTGGAAGGGGGAGGGGAGGGAGCGATGGTCTGCAGATCTTTAGGGAGGAGGATGGGATGGAGCGATGGTCTGCAGATCTCTAGGGAGGATGGATGGGATGGAGCGATGGTCTGCAGATCTCTAGGGAGGAGGATGGGATGGAGCGATGGTCTGCAGATCTCTAGGGAGGAGGATGGGATGGAGCGATGGTCTGCAGATCTCTAGGGAGGAGGATGGGATGGAGCGATGGTCTGCAGATCTCTAGGGAAGTGGAGGGGACGGAGCGATGGTCTGCAGATCTCTAGGGAGGAGGATGGGACGGAGCGATGGTCTGCAGATCTCTAGGGAAGTGGAGGGGACGGAGCGATGGTGCAGATCTCTAGGGAGGAGGATGGGATGGAGCGATGGTCTGCAGATCTCTAGGGAAGTGGATGGGACAGAGCGATGGTCTGCAGATCTCAGTGATGGGATAATCTGCAGAATATATCAATATGGATCTGCCAGGAGGGGGAGGGGAGGGAGCGATGTTCTGCAGATCTCTAGGGAGGGGAGGGAGCGATGTTCTGCAGATCTCTAGGGAGGAGGATGGGACGGAGCGATGGTCTGCAGATCTCTAGGGAAGTGGATGGGACAGAGCGATGGTCTGCAGATCTCTAGGGAAGTGGATGGGACAGAGCGATGGTCTGCAGATCTCTAGGGAAGTGGATGGGACAGAGCGATGGTCTGCAGATCTCAGTGATGGGATAATCTGCAGAATATATCAATATGGATCTGCCAGGAGGGGGATGGGAGGGAGCGATGTTCTGCAGATCTCTAGGGAGGGGAGGGAGCGATGTTCTGCAGGTTTGCTCTGGTCTCGGTCGGGGAAGTTCCGGTGGATTCCTCCCTCTGGTGGAGTTCCGGTTTCTATACAGACCCTCTATTGTGTCCTCGGGAAGAAATTATCTCACATCTGTGGGCACTACACAGGAAGTCGCTATTTCCAGTCCGTCGTATCGCATCAATCGCCGCTTTGTAGCGCTGGGAAGTGATTCCAGGCGGGGTCACCCGTGTCTGGCTCCGCCCAGTCTGTCCGTGGATCAAAGTTCCTCCAACTGGGGGCTCATAGAGGTTCTCCCCGATCTACCGACTTGTTACATCTCTCCTGCATCTTCTATACAATTCCCTTCTATATCAGACAGTGCAATCTGCACCTTTGCTTAAATCCCCCCTCCATCCCCTAGATGTATCGGCTCCTCCCCTTCAGTCTTGCACAGGTGTAGCGGCTCCTCCCCTTCAGTCTTGTACAGGTGTACCGGCTCCTCCCCTTCAGTCTTGCACAGGTGTAGCGGCTCCTCTCCTTCAGTCTTGTACAGGTGTACCGGCTCCTCCCCTTCAGTCTTGTACAGGTGTATCGGCTCCTCCCCTTCAGTCTTGTACAGGTGTCCCGACTCCTCCCCTCCAGTCTCGCACAGATGTACCGGCTCCTCCCCTCCAGTCTTCCACAAGTGTACCGGCTCCTCCCCTCCAGTCTTGCACAGGTGTACCGGCTCCTCCCCTCCAGTCTGGCACAGTCTCGTACAGGTGTATCGGCTCCTCCCCTTCAGTCTCAGACAGATGTACCGGCTCCTCCCCTTCAGTCTTGCACAGGTGTCCCGGCTCCTCTCCTTCAGTCTTGCACAGATGTACCGGCTCCTCCCCCTCAGTCTTGCACAGGTGTACCAGCTCCTCCCCTCCAGTCTTACACAGGTGTCCCGGCTCCTCCCCTTCAGTCTTGCACAGGTGTACCGGCTCCTCCCCTTCAGTCTTGCACAGGTGTACCAGCTCCTCCCCTCCAGTCTTACACAGGTGTCCCGGCTCCTCCCCTTCAGTCTTGCACAGGTGTCCCGGCTCCTCCCCTTCAGTCTTGCACAGGTGTCCCGGCTCCTCCCCTTCAGTCTTGCACAGGTGCCCCGGCTCCTCCCCTTCAGTCTTGCACAGGTGTAGCGGCTCCTCCCCTCCAGTCTTGCACAGGTGTACCAGCTCCTCCCCTCCAGTCTTGCACAGGTGTAGCGGCTCCTCCCCTCCAGTCTTGCACAGTTGTATCGGCTCCTCCCCTTCAATCTTGCACAGGTGTAGCGGCTCCTCCCCTCCAGTCTTGCACAGTTGTATCGGCTCCTCCCCTTCAGTCTTGCACAGGTGTAGCGGCTCCTCCCCTTCAGTCTTGCACAGGTGTAGCGGCTCCTCCCCTCCAGTCTTGCACAGGTGTACCGGCTCCTCCCCCTCCAGTCTTGCACAGGTGTAGCGGCTCCTCCCCTCCAGTCTTGCACAGTTGTATCGGCTCCTCCCCTTCAATCTCGCACAGGTGTAGCGGCTCCTCCCCTCCAGTCTTGCACAGTTGTATCGGCTCCTCCCCTTCAATCTTGCACAGGTGTAGCGGCTCCTCCCCTGGACTGGAATGGCTTCTTTTGATGTCACCGCACACTGGGAGCTTCTCACAATGTGCATTAGAAGCTGCAGCCAGTCAGATAGAGCTCCGCCTCATTTCCTGGCTGGAGGACATCAAGCATCATCTAGCTCATTCCCCCACACATCCTTCCCCAGCCCGACTGTCCCTGGCCCCGCCCCTTTCATTCATTGGATTTCAGTTCTTTCAATCATGAAGGCTCAGTATCACATGTGGGCGTTACCTTTGGAGGAGTGGGCGTTCCTAGGCAGGCTGTGTTTGCAGACTGACCCCCATCAAGGTATTTTGATATTTGCATAACTCCTCCCACTGCTTGCATCGGGGCTGAGGCCTTTGGGAAGAGGCAGGGGGCTGCGGTGTTTTTAGGAAGCTATGTACAGCCCCCTGCCCTGATCTGCCTGCATTGCATAGAGAGGCACAGAGACCCAGTGATGACATCATTGGACCTAAAATAAGGTATGTAATGAAAATGGGAAAAAATGTTCTGTTAATATGGGGGGGGGGGGGGGCATCGGGGGCGGGGCCGGGGGGGAGGGGAGGGGAAACCAAGGAAATCGGAACAATGAACCTTTCAGCTGCCGAGATGATGTCAGTCGCAGGAGAAGCCACACGGGGACAGCCCCCCTGTTATTGCCATTGTGGGAAGGATTAGTAGTGAGCCGGTCCTGTTCCGGCATTCTGGGACTTGCAGTTCGCCAGCATCTGGGGGGCGGTATTGGCTGGCGGTCCAGGTGGGCGGAGTCTCATCTTTTGCGCTCTTGTCTTGCAGGCGAAGTTTCGCTCGGTGAAGGTGATCAGCGAGTTCATCCTGAATACCAAGGAGGACGGGGCTCTGTTCACTGACAACGCCCGGCACAGGACGCAGGTCAGGAGCTCCGGGGTCAGGACGGGGGGAGCGCACCATACGGCTGTAATGACCCTGAGAGGTCGCTTTGGCATGCCTAGAGTGAATGATGATCCGAGGTCACCGGCTGCCATTGTGGCTTCGTTTGAAAATGCTAACAGCCTGGCTGCCTCTGACTTCAGCCTTCTGATTGGCCTACCTGGAACACACATGTATAGATGTCTGTCCCCGCCCACTTTGGGGCGTTCCTGCTCTTCTGTTTCATTCTCAATGACATCACATTTTAATTTTGGCTCAACTTTTGTTTTGTGGTCGGGGGTGGGCTGTGCAAGGGGTGGACCCTCCGTCAGGTTTTTGTGTGTCCCCACTGGGGAGATTCTCCGTCTCTATTGGTTGAGTTGGTGTCACCGGGACAGGAAGTGATGAGAAATCCACGATAGTTGTCACTGGAACAGGAACCGTGGAGAAATCTTCCAATGGGGGACACCTGGTCTGGTGAGACGCTGTGAGATTTCCTCTCATTTCCCTTCAGTTCCTGTTCTGGAGACACAACAGGAAGCGGGAGAAGAGGATTTCCCTCTTGGCTGTCACCGGATCAGGTGTCCCCATTGAGAGATTCCCCAGTCACTTCCTGTTCTGGAGACACAACAGGAAGCGGGAGAAGAGGATTTCGCTCTTGGTTGTCACCGGATCAGGTGTCCCCATTGAGAGATTCCCCAGTCACTTCCTGTTCTGGAGACACAACAGAAAGCGGGAGAAGAGGATTTCCCTCTTGGTTGTCACCGGATCAGGTGTCTCCATTGAGAGATTCCCCAGTCACTTCCTGTTCTGGAGACACAAGAGGAAGTGGAGGAGAGGATTTCCCTCTTGGTTGTCACCGGATCAGGTGTCCCCATTGAGAGATTCCCAGTCACTTCCTGTTCTGGAGACACAACAGGAAGCGGGAGAAGAGGATTTCCCTCTTGGTTGTCACCAGATCAGGTGTCTCCATTGAGAGATTCCCCAGTCACTTCCTGTTCTGGAGACACAAGAGGAAGTGGGAGGAGAGGATTTCCCTCTTGGTTGTCACTGGATCAGGTGTCTCCATTGAGAGATTCCCCAGTCACTTCCTGTTCTAGAGACACAACAGGAAGTGGGAGGAGAGGATTTCCCTCTAGGTCATCACTGCATCAGGTGTCCCCATTGAGAGATTCCCCAGTCACTTCCTGTTCTGGAGACACAAGAGGAAGTTTGAGGAGAGGATTTCCCTCTTGGTTGTCGCCAGATCAGGTGTCTCCATTGAGAGATTCCCCAGTCTTCTGTTCTGGAGACACAACAGGAAGTGGGAGGAGAGGATTTCCCTCTAGGTCAATCACTGCATCAGGTGTCCCCATTGAGAGATTCCCAGTCACTTCCTGTTGTTCTGGAGACACAGGAAGGAAGCGAGAGGAGACCTCTCAATGGGGTCACCAGTTCTTATCAGGTGTAGAAGGGGAAATCTTCTAATGGGGACACCTGATCCGGTGACAACCAAGAGGGTAATCCTCTTTGTCCCACTTCCTGTTTTTTTTGTGTCTCCAAGACAGGAAGTGACTGGGGAATCTCTCAATGGGGACACAGTTGTTTCAGCTTTTATTCCAGCTAAATTTTTTTTTCTTCCTTTTCAACAGTGAAGGAGTGTACACTATCATTTGTGAGACACCTTTTTTTTTTGGTGTCACTAACACAGGAAGTGATGGGAAATCCCTCCAACTTGCAGTTGTCATCAGAACAGGAAGTGACTGGGAAATCTTCTAATGGGGACACCTGATCCGGTACAACCAAGAGGGAAATCCTTTCCTCCCACTTCCTGTTTTTTCTCCAGAACAGGAAGTGACTGTGGGATCTGTCAATGAAGACACCTGATCCGGTGACAACAAGAGGGAAATCCTCTTTTCCCACTTCCTGTTGTGTCTCCAGAACAGGAAGTGACCGTGGGATCTGTCAATGAAGACACCTGATCCGGTGACAACCAAGAGGGAAATCCTCTCCCCCACTTCCTGTTGTGTTTCCAGAACAGGAAGTGACTAGGGAATCTCTCAATGGGGACACCTGATCCGGTGACAACCAACAGGGAAATCCTCTCCCACTTCCTGTTGTGTTTCCAGAACAGGAAGTGACTGGGGAATCTCTCAATGGAGATACCTGATCCGGTGACAACCAAGAGGGAAATCCTCTCCTCCCACTTCCTGTTGTGTCTCCAGAACAGGAAGTGAAGGGAAATCTCCCAAAGGAGACACAGAGAGGATTATATTCAATTCTGCGTTGATTTTGGCCGTAATGTTGGCTGACCTTGTCCTTCGCAGAGTGTGCTGGAGTTGCTGCACCCCGTCCTCCTGCCGCTGTCGCTGTGGATCCTCATTGGAAGCGTCATCGGAGGTCTTCTGTTATTAGCGCTCATCATCTTCATCCTTTGGAAGGTAAGTCACGGACAGACGACTCGACACTCCCCCCGCCATCGGCCCGTGCAGTACCTCATAATGGCCTGTAGCTGGCGCTCACCAGAACAGATCCTCCGAAGCTGCTGCCAGACGCAAAACTATGCGCAGCCCAAGGATGGGGGGGGGGGGGGGGGAGGGGGGGCAGCGTTGAGCGAAGCATTTCACTATTCGGCGTCCGTCTGTGTCGTTCTCTTCGCAGACTGTTTTCAAATTTCAGGCGGTCAGATAAAAGGGGGCGGAGTTCTCTCCAAGATGTTTTGAGCATCTGCCAGTTGTCAGATACCAACCACCCCACCCAGAGTCAGCTATGTCACATATGTGCAGTAAAGTGCACCTGTCACCGGAACGATGATTCCGGCCCCTCTGGGTACTGCAAACCAGCAGCTGCTGCAGAACTACAAGTCCCAGCATGGCCCTGCTCCTGCTTAAAGTGATACTAAACCCCGGACCCCGCGTTCACCGTATCCGCTCCCCCCGGACCCCGCATTCACCGTGTCCGCTCCCCCAGGACCCCGCGTTCACTATATCCGCTCTCCCCGGACCCCGCATTCACCGTGTCCGCTCCCCCCAGGACCCCTCCCCGGACCCCGCGTTCACCGTGTCCGCTCCCCCCGGACCCCGCGTTCACCGTATCCGCTCCCCCCCCGGACCCCGCATTCACCGTGTCCGCTCCCCCAGGACCCCGCGTTCACTATATCCGCTCTCCCCGGACCCCGCATTCACCGTGTCCGCTCCCCCAGGACCCCGCGTTCACTATATCCGCTCTCCCCGGACCCCGCGTTCACCGTGTCCGCTCCCCCCGGACCCCGCGTTCACCGTATCCGCTCCCCCCGGACCCCGCATTCACCGTGTCCGCTCCCCCAGGACCCCGCGTTCACTATATCCGCTCTCCCCACACCCCGCGTTCACCGTGTCCGCTCTCCCCCGGACCCCGCGTTCACTATATCCGCTCCCCCGGACCCCGCATTCCACCGTGTCCGCTTCCCCAGGACCCCGCATTCACTATATCCGCTCTCCCCGGACCCCGCGTTCGCTATATCCGCTCTCTCTCCCCGGACCCCGCGTTCCCTGTATCCGCTCTCCCCGGACCCGCATTCACTATATCCGCTCTCCCCGGACCCCGCATTCACTATATCTATCCGCTCTCCCCGGACCCCACATTCACTGTATCCGCTCTCCCCCGGACCCCGCATTCACTATATCCGCTCTCCCCGGACCCCGCATTCACTATATCCGCTCTCCCCGGACCCCGCATTCACTATATCCGGTCTCCCCGGACCCCGCATTCACTATATCCGCTCTCCCCGGACCCCGCATTCACTATGTCCGCTCTCCCCGGACCCCGCATTCACTATATCCGGTCCCCCCAGACCCCGCATTCACTATGTCCGGTCTCCCAGACCCCGCATTCACTATGTCCGCTCTCCCCGGACCCCGCATTCACTATATCCGCTCTCCCCCGACCCCGCGTTCCATATATCTGCTCTCCCACAGTACACAGAACATGGAAATGCAATTTTTTTTCTTAGTAAATATAAACTGCTAAATCCCTTTTCTCATCAGCAGTATATAGCAGTCGTGACTTCTATCAGTGTCCAGCAGAGCACTGGTTAAAGCTTGTAGGAGGAGTTTTCTCTAGGAGGATGCAGGACCCCTGACCGCTGCACAATGTCATGTAGCTATACACGATTTTGCATTTCCGGGTAGGAGGCGCACGCGGTATGTGTCACTTACCTTTGGCCGTATAGTGTGGATGTCAGGTCACTTACAGGTTCTGTACAAAGTCACAAAACAATTTTATATCCCACCAGAGCTATTTGGAGCATCTACACACCAGCTGAAAGTTACAACTGGGCTTGCGAAAGGAATGCCTGGCCTGCATGCTGAGGAGCAAAAGGGGGGGGGGAGGTATTTAGGCAATTAGCTGAACTATCACTTCTGGTCCTGGCATTCAGAGTAGAGAATTGGGGTCTAAAGCAGAAATATTCATGGCATTGAACGCGCCGGTTGCAGCAGTTGCACATTTTTTTGCAGCAACAAATCACACTTTCTGGCAGCTGCTGACATTGGGGCTTATGAATAAGGCGCAGTGCAGCATTGCCCTCTGGTGATGAAGCCGGGTACTGCAGAGGCAGAAGGCTTTAAAATCTGACCTCAATCCTCCGGGTGTACCGGATCCTCTCCTGGACTGAAATGCTTATGATTTCACCGCACACTGTGAGCGTCTCACAATGTGCACTAGAAGATGCAGCCAGTCACATAGAGCTCAGTATTGGTGGATGAGAAGGGAGGTCCATGGCCTGTGAGAGGGGTATTCTGCTTACTCATTTTTCTTGGGTTTGTCTTTCATGGAGTGATGGAATGAGATGGGGTGTGTTGGCATGAGATGGGTTCAGGCTGGATGAGATGGGTCAGGATGAGATGGGTTATGATGGGATGGATTGTGTTGTGTTTGGGACAAGATGGGCTGGGTGAGCTATGATGGGATGAGTTGTGATGGATTGGATGGGATGGATGAGATGGGTCAGGTTGTGATGAGAGATGAGATGGGCTGGGTTGTGTTGGGTGAAATGTTTTTGATGGGATGAGAGATGCAAGTTGTGATGTTTAGGCTGTGATTAGATAAGATGGGTTGTGATGTGTGGGTTGGGTTGAGTTGTGATGGGGTGGGATAGGATAAGATGGTTGGGTTGGTTGTGATGGGGGGTGAGATGGGATGGTTGGATGAGATGGGTTGGGTTGTGATGGGGTGGGGGGTGGGGTGAAAGATGGTTGGGTTGGGGGGGATGTAAGATGGTTGTTGATGGGGGGGGTGGGGTGATGTGATGGGTTGTTTTTGATGGGCTGGGATAGGATAATATGTGTTGGGGTGAGATGGGTGGGTTTAGATGAGGGTTGGGTTGTGGGATGTGATGGGCTTGGGGATAGGATAAGATGGGGTTGGGTTGGGATGGGATGGGGGGGATTAGGATAAGATGTGTTGGGGGGATGGGTGGGATAGGATAAGATGGGTGTGTTGGGGTGGGATGGGATAGGATGTGTTGGTTGGGATGGGATAGGATAAGATGGGTTGGGATGGGTTGGGATACGATAAGATGGGTTGGGATAGGATAAGATGGGTTGGGATGGGGTGGGATACGATAAGATGGGTTGGGTTGGGGTGAGATGGGTTATGATGGGGTGGGTTGTGATGGGAGGATAAGATGTGTTGGGTTGAGATGTGATGGGGATAGGATAGGATAGGATAAGATGTTTTGGGTTGGGATGTGGTGGGGTGAGATGGGTTGGGATAGGATAAGGGATGTGATGGGTTGTGATAGGATAGGATGTGATGGGTTGTGATGGGGTGGGATAGGATAGGATAAGATGGGGGTTTGGGTCGGGATGGATAGGATAAGATGTTTTGGGTTGTGATGTGATGGGATAGGATAAGATGTGTTGGGTTGGGTTGGGATGTGATGGGGGGTGAGATGAGATGTGTTAGGTTGGGTTGTGAGGAGATGCATTGAGATGGGATGGGATGAGTTGGGTTGGGATTGGGTGAGATGGGATGGGATGAGTTGGGATTGGGTTGTGAGGAGATGCATTGAGATGGGATGGGATGAGTTGGGATTGGGTTGCGTTGTTATGGGTTGGGTCAGGATGGGACAGATCTATGAATTGCTCCTACTCCGCACTTATCATTCATGTCCTTTCTCACAGCTGGGATTCTTCACGAGGAAGGTCCAGGGTGAGGAGAAGGAAGAAGCCACTGCTGAGGACGCTCAGTGACCCGTCCCCAACAGAGATGTCCCCAACAGAGACCAGAACTGTCCAATATGGACCCATCGCTGTGCGGCCGGAGCTCAATATTCTGTATTATCTTCTTGGCAAGGGAAGGACCATCTCCAAATCTGGAGACCCAACACACAGCCCCACAATGGGACCAATACTGACTAGAATGGAACACGGAGCACTGAGGATCTCAATGAGGACGGTGCTGGGTGCACAGGGCCGATGATGGGACTTCTTCAGGAACATTTGACCCCGCCCCTGAGGACAGGATGACTACAAAACAACAACAGGAGTGATAAGGGAGTAGAATCCACTCCGATTTCTTTTCTATGGACCCCGGAGAGATTTGTATATTTGTATATTGTGGCGCCCCCTATTGTCGGATGAAGATGGACGTTGTCATATCAACATTTAATAAAAGATATTTATACTTAGTACGGAGGGAGCAGCACGCAGGATGGATCTGCCGCATGGTATTGGGTTTGTATGGTATACAATGGATACCGAAATCTGACCTCTGACCCCCCACTGGTATATAAGGCACAGTGCTGTGCTGCCCCCTGCTGCAGAGGCTGGGGTACTTCACCCCTCCATCCGCCAGGATACTACCGGCTCCTCTGCGTGATTGAAATGGCTTCCTCTGGTGTCACCGCACACTGTGAGCTCCTCCCACTGTGCATTAGAAGCAGCAGCCAGTCAGATAGAGCTCCGCTTCATTTCCTGGCTGGAGGACGTCCAGCATCATCTAGAGCTTTCCCCCTGGCCCCGCCTCTTTCAATCAAGGAGGTGCAACATCACTTGTGGTCCTTACCTATGCAAACGCAGCCTGCCTAGAAGCACCCACTGCTCCAGGCTGGCGTTCACCCTTTAAGTGGGAGGAGTTATGTAAATATCTTAAACTCCTCCCACTGCTTGCAGCTGCTGAGGGCTCTTGAGAGGCATACAGAGGCCCCTGCCCCGCAAGTGGGAGGGTTTATGTAAATATATTTACATAACTCTTCCCACTGCTCTCAGCTGCTGAGGCGTACTGAGGCAGGGTGCCATGATAAGGAAGCCATGAATTGGCCCCACCCACCAGCTATGCTCTGCCTGCATTGCATAGACACACACAGAGGCCCAGTGATGACATCAACAGG